TTTAGTTTTTCGCGAGGGTCTTTTGAGTGATTTGATGATACAGAAACCTGAATTGGGCTACTACTCAACTACGTTGAAGTCGTATTATTCTCTAATGTAACTCATAGCTAAAACTTCGATTGGTTCGAACATCATGCCATGCACAGTATGCCTCACGTCTGGAATGTAGATCGATCTGGTGCTTTCTGACAACACTCAGGAATGGCATGCCTCGAAGAGATTTTGCTCTGTTTCTCTAGAAGAAACCAGAGATCTAATTGATAGCTGTTAGAGAGTGATCTAACAATCCATTGCCGACACGTTGTCGACAACGTGACTTTCGTTCTTCTCTTTTCTTTTCTTTTTCTGTTTGTCCTTTAATTGAATGATTAGTCGAAGTTCATCTTCATTCAAATCGTCGACTAGTCCCAGAAGAAGCTTCTCGTCGACTTATTCAGCCCTCGATCATTGTTGTTCTTCTTTTTCTATGTTCATTGTTGATCTGACTACAAATAGTCGATTTCGACATTAAATAAAAGGAGTGAAATTCGATCGAAGAGAACGAGACGAAGTTTCATCATCGAAGTCTTCTTGCTACAGTTGGGACCCTGTAACAATAGCTCTTTACTTTTTCTGAGAGATTAACGTAAGTAAAGTTAGCACCATGTTCGTTTTTCGACTAGGATTGGGCGCAGAATTCGATTCTGCATCGAACGGTACTCTTTTTGAAGGGGGTTGTCGGGCAAAAACTGGGGAAAAAAGTCAACATATACTTTTTTTTATAGATTTCGGTACGATAAATCGTCTCCAAATTCGTTCTGAAGCTTGGATTGAGTTCAGAATCAAATTCTGCGTCGACTAATGTCATTTTCAATAGGGGTTGTCGATAAAAAAAGTCGAGTTTTCACACCCTCACCCTCACCCTCGATTTTATTGAAATGGGCAATTATGGATTCGTTTCCGACAGAAAATGAATGAATATTAAGCGATTGAACAAATCGATGAGAAATGACATGTTTTGTAATGACGAAAATTCGAATATGGGCCGATCATCGTCGATGAAAACGAACGGGTAAAAGTGATAGACGAATATCCTAGCCAGGGTGACATCTTTATGAAAATTCTTTAGATGTTTCGAAATAGTTCTCAACAATGTTTTATGTTTGGTTCGATTTCTCCTATATGTTTCTTCATTTTTCAACGGATCAATGTGAAAAATAGTATAACATTTGATTGCAGATGAATCTATTTCTTCATCGCATTGAATATCATTGAATATGCGTGCAGGGACTTTAATTCGATAGTTCATTGTTTAGTTCGTTGGAATTTGTTTGTAATGTTTAAATAAAAAGAAATGGCTTCTTTCACGCGAAGCCAAGAATATTCGAGAGTTTTCAAGTTCGACATGATCATCTCAGACCATCAGAGTGTCGTAGCGTTCTCAAAAACGTGTTGACTCCACATCTTTCACACTTCTCTTGATCTCAATCCGAGTAGACTCGATAGGAAGTAAGTTTCAGATAATCCGCCTTTCTCAGTGTTCGTTTCTGCTACAGATAAACGATGTCGATTAGGCTAGACGATGACAGTCTTCATCAATCATTA